CATTCTCTTTCTTGTTTCTTCTTCTATATTCTCCCGTGTGTATATATATTTCTTTTTCTTTTTTTTTTTTCCGCCCCTCTTTCCTTGAGTTTATTTCCTTTTCACCAGCGCTACTACTCGCGCTACTCGTCCTCTTACGCGCGACCGTTGTTCCCTCTGTTCCTTGGACGGAAATGAATATTAACGAGCCACTTTCGCAGCGATCGCGTAATGGTAAGATCTGATCTTCGGGAAGGGGCGCATTTGTTAAGCTAATTTAATTTAAGGGAAATATTTCGTTGTGTAACTTTACGGATAAATCGCGTGGATGAATTATGGCGCACGGAACAATTAGGAAATCACGTTCCTAACGCGTTGTGCGTTGAGAACGAAATTAAATAACCGGGTGAGGAAATTATCGTTTTATTATCATGATTAAAAATATGGTTGACGGATCAACAATCGTTAAAATGCGTCCGTGCCAAATTAAAATCTACGATCTCTCAAGAACGCGTTAAGGTAAAAACACGGTGAGAGAGGATAGGGTATCATTTTAAAGATACACTATATATATATATATATATATATATATACTTACACACCACATGTTTCTTTATCGTCACCATGTAACACATACCGTTTCTGCTTTTATAGTTCCAGACTGTTCCTTCGTTGCTCCCCGAACGGCCCTTGCACGACAAAAAGTATAGGGAGTAGTTACGGCGACCGGTGAACAGCACCTTACTAACGTCAACGTTGCCTCCGTTCCGTGAATCGGCCGTTCCCGGCTAACGTAGTCCTTGGGCTTCTAATATTTACACGCTCGCAGCGCGAGCCACCACGATATTCCCAACGTTGACGATAAAGCCAACGGCGTAAAGAACTGAATTGAATTTTGCGTACAAACAGGATCAGTCGCCTTAGAGTGTAAATAATGGCGGGGCAGCGTTGTGACGCGAGCTTTCCCCGAGATACTGCCCCTTTTCATGGAACCAGTAATTCGACGTTATCTGCGGATGTCCCTTTATGAGCGACGTCGCGCGTTGCGGTTTAACTTCCATTCATGTAATTCGATCGTTTCGAGAAGCCTGAGTGCATATAATATAGCCTGTGCACCGACGCGAATAAAAATAAAAAAAGAAAAAAAAAGGAAGAGAGAAGAAGAAAAAAAGAAAGAAAGAAAGAAAGAAAGAAAGAAAGAAAGAAAGAAGTACAAGAAGCGTTTGGAGAGAAGGCTTTGACGACATGGAGTAAAAAAGGGCGTAAAAACTTACGAGCACGATAGTTGTTTTTCACCTATACGACTGAGGTAAAAAAAAAAAAAAGAAGGACACGGTGTAAGAGGTTGGAATAAAAGACGCGTGAAAGAAACAAGACACGCAAGTACTGCAAATCGAGAGAAAGAAACGTAGTGTAAAAAAAAAAAATATTGCGGTGCTGTTCGCTGCCGGTTAGCCCCTGGGCTTGAAAGTCTATTGTCCTCGGTTCATTACACATTTTCAGGAGTGTCCTGGCGAAGGACAGTGGGTGGAGGGACCAGTCGCTGACCAGATGCATGACAACGAAATATGAAATATCAGATTTCACTAACGTTACGTCTTTTTACCATAGTGCGTTTTTCGCGAGCAAGGGCCACCAAAGGCAGTGGAAAAAAGAACAGCGGGGCGAAATAAAAGGGAAAAACATTTTACAAAACGTTGTTCTCCGTCCCAGGAAAGCAGGCAGAGGGGGAGGGAGTCGGATTTTCAGCTCCGATAATAGTCACTTTTGGGGTAACCGAGCGAATCCATTGAATCACCGATCGCCAAGTAAGTGGAACGGTTATTTCGTATTTTGAATGGCCCGTGATTAGAATAGTTAGCGAGCGGGGAATAACCGACCGGTACCGGAACCGATTCGATATCGAGCGCGTCCACGATGTATATACATACGTACATCGAAAAACCGGGATCGATCGGTTACGAGTCTAAATACAAATTCTTTCTGCCACCACGATTTCACGGTTGGAATTAACCACGGACGATACGTTTAACAAACATCGCGGATCGGTAAGCATCGTATAGAAGAAGGCAACACGGTGTTGGGCGAAGATGAGAGAAGGGGATGGGTGGCGTCCAGTGAGCCCCTAATTTCCATCGTACCCGATTCATTACCGACTACGCGGGGGAGGAGGGTGACGAGGTGGAGAAAGAGAAGCGAGCAGGAGGAGGAGGAGGAGGAGAAGGAGGAGGTGGTGGGATGAGAGACGGTAGGAGCGAGAAGAGAATGAGAGGGGGGTAGAACGGTGGCGGCGCATTATTACGAGGCCGAATTACCTAATTTCGCTGGTCGTTACGTTGTTTCGACGAGCCGGAGCCCCCCGGGTCTGGAGAGGGGCGTAGAGCCCTCACGGTGGCGGGTCCTTCTGGCACCGAGGTTCGCGTTAAACCACCCCATTTGAGCGTTTTCCACCCCGACGACCTTACCATCGGGGTGGCCCGACTATAAGTCCCCCTTGCATCTCCTGCTTGCAGTCCGCGCGGATCCGTCGGCCAATCCCGACACACCTTGCCCCGACTTATCCAATAGCCGCTGCTTGTTCTTAAGCAAAGAACCCCTCTTTCTACACACCGCTAGCCAGCT